CCACCCTCCGCGACGGCTCACGAGAAAGTGAGGAAGCTAACGCCGTTATGTATTGGGCGTACGCAGGTTTGTTCGTGTTGAGTTGTTTTTGCCGGCTTGAACGACCTTCCTTGAACGACCTAAACACCGGATGGTACAGCCAGGTACGGCCATGGTACACGTGTACGCGGCTAAGTCAATGAATTGTGTGACGCAACCTCACTAGCGCGTTGGACCGACGGAGAGAACCGATACCGCGGCACGCTCTACCGTACTCTCTCGCTCGCACACCTGCCCCCATAGACCACCGAAATTCTTCGGCACGCGTCAACACCGAAGGAGAGCACCGATACCGAGGCTCGCTCTAGCGCTCTCGCTCTCTCCCGTTCACCTGCTCCGACCATTTTCGGCATCGTTCGGTACTCGTCGACACCGACGGAGAGCACCGATACCACGGCTCGCTCTCCCGCTTTCGTTTAATTATAATGTTCATATTCCCCAAATAAATATCATTTTTAACTAATTTGTTTAAGCGACATGTTCCTTTTAAAGATTTAGCTCTCCAGTATAAACTCCTAAGACCGTTATTTATTATTCATTTCATATCGTTAAATACGATTTTTCTGACAGGATACCAATTTCTATTACGGTATCACAAAATAATTGCAAATATGAATCTTCTTTACCTCTTCTGGAACATTCTAATTTCGTAGCCCTAAACTGGGTACCTGAAAGTATTTCATTGAATTTGTGTAAAAGATTTTATTACTTCCTAAGACACTCCGTGTGATATTTGATAGCCTAAAAAACAATGTGCCGATGCAGGGTTTCGATTTATTTACGAAACTAATCTGACTAGTTGCTGCATTCTTTGACAATAATTTTCTAGAAAATAAAACTTCTGTATTTCACTTAATTTGAGAGACACATAGCTGAATTTACTGTATTTCGTACGTACCCCTACAGCCCTTAAATGATCAGTTATCGAACTTCTACTGTACCTACATGTCAGCAAGGGGTTTTCCTATCGATCATTAATAAGGTCTCAATTATCGAACCTCTGCTGTATTTTCTGGTATTTCAATCGACAGAGGGTATGGAAGATATATTCACTACTGCCCATAAAGAAGTTATTGCGGTCTCATTGTAGCTTCCGGTCCTGTGGAGGCGACACTTCCGTAACATTGTTACGTAATTAAACTAATGTCACACAATGTTTGCGAAAGGAAACTAAATGGAATGAGAAAAATGACTTCTCATTGCTTCATCCGAGCAATAATACGGTCATCTTGATTGTGA